CTGTCTGCTTTGTTGGAGGAGGAGGGCCTGAAGTGAAGTCCTGTTGGAAGCACCGCTAGTTATGTGAAGCAATAAACAAAAATAAGATGGGTGTACAGGGAAGATTGCAAGGTGAGGCACAGTTTGGGCCAAATCACTCCATCTCCTCCATGCAATAAGATGACTGCATCGCTCCGCTGGTGCTGCAGTAACTAAACAGCCCTTTCTCTCCCTCCAAAGCATCTCACGGCTTCTCGGGCAGCCACTGTCCCTTCCACTCATCCTGAGCGCCAAGAGAACAGCTAAGCATAAAGGGATGAAAAAACAACAAAACTTGTGAAAAGAAATAAGACAAGCCAGAAAAGCACACTGGCTACTACAGACAGAACTGCTCCAGCTGAAGTGACCTGGAGGTACTTCCATGAGACCGCGCTGCTTGGGCCTTCTTCCAGCAGGAAGGATTAGCAGCAATATGATCTGTCAGTCCCTCTGCCCGCTTCACTGCTCACCAACCCATGGAAACATCAATTCCAGCTCTGATGAGAGGCAGAGATCCCAGAAACAGGAAGCTGTCCTAATAAAAGCTGAGACGGACGTGCTGTTGTCCCACTGAAGGAAAGGCAGAGGACAGTTCAGCTTTCAGCACACAAACAGCACGTGCAAACCTGTGGGCATACAGCTGGTGGTTCTTTGTCCAGGCAACAGGTAGAACAGTCGGGAGATGCAGCAAATGAATGGAAAGCAACCTCTGCAGCAACAAGTGCTGCCATTGCCGGCAGGGCAGCACAGGACGATGAGAAATCCTTGGCTGAGTGTAAGTGCTGCTCAGCAACAACTGAAACATCGCTGTGTTATCAGCAGAGTTTGTCTCCTAAATGCCAAACGGCACCACGCTGCTATAAGGGGAGTGAACCATCTCAGGCATGGCCAGGGCATAAGCCAAAGGAAAAGTATTTGGAGAAAGAAATAGGAAACACTGCAGTTACAGCTCTCACACCAAGAGGCTGAGCTTTGTAGGAAGCTGACTGTTGACAAGACTGTAACACACTGCATTACTGCTTTGCTGATTAGGCTCTATTTATCAATATTTCTGTTATGTAGCTGAATTTTACAAGCAAAACAGTGGACACACAACGATTTCTCATTTTAAGAGAACTTCTTGAATCAAGATCTGTGTCTACAATGAAGAACAAATGGAGCTGTCTTCTGTGTCTGCTCGTGAGATCAGTACCTGCTCCCTCACTGATGGAAGCAGCTGCCCCCGCTGGGCTCCTTCCACATCTCCATTACTGGAGTGGTGACTCGAGAACTTCTCATCAGAATTATCCTCCAACCAGGGAGAGTTTTGTCTGCATACTTAGAGCATGAAATCTGGCCTGCAGGCCAAGCTTACCATTCTGAAAATTGAGACAAGCACCATCTAACCCGTTCAGAGTGACTGGGAACCAGCACACACATTTGGTATCGCTATCTCATTTTTAGACTTTTTCTTATGTACTGAAATGGGAACGTTTTTGTCAGCCTGAATCATCAAGATACAGATGCACAAATTACTGCCAAGGGCATTAAGTGGTTCACAATGACAGGCTTTGTTCTGCAGGCAGCTTGCAGTGGTGACCACAGCCACCACACCACTGCAGCCCCCGGCCCTGCTGCCTTGCGCCGACTTCACCTGCAACTGCATCACAGCTTGACTTTGCTTACTGGCCCAGCAGAACTTAATAACTGGTAAAAGCACTACAACTGCTAATGAGCCATTTGCATGTTCTCAGAATGGCTACAGATGATTGAAACAAACCAATAAAACTGTTTTCTTTCTTTAGAGTTCACTTGACTGAAAGGCTTCAGCTCCTGGAGCTCTGCTGTCCTTCAGCTGTCAAAGACAACATAACAAATGTAATCGGCAGTAACGTTTAAATCCAGGCAATATTAATCACTTTTTAAGAGTTCTCCAAAGAGTAAAAACCTGCTGTTTCATTAGGCTTGAGGAGCTTTACTGATTTAGCCTTACAAAGGAAGGAAGAAAAAAGTGTAAAAATATGCAAGAGCTCCACCTTTCTGAGCCTGAGGGGTACTGCTGTGGAGGCAACAGGTGGGAACATCCCAGCGGTTACAAGTCAGCACTTAGAAATTCAGGAGCAAGGCTCTGGAACAGCCTGCTAGGAAGGGTGGGACGGGAAGATCCCAGGATGGTCTTGAGGTGCATTTCCAGAAAGGCCCATGTGCTGTGGCTGCCTGCAGAGCTGGGATGAGACCGGCGTTCCTGAATGGAAGCGGTCCCTTTATGCTGAAAAGCCTCCACGATGCCACTTGTCTGCTCCATTCTCAAACAAGCATCCTGTTGTTTCTAGGCAAAGAGGTCAAACAGAAATTGAAGTGCTCAGTGACCATAACGTGGGCTGTGACCATCACTGATGTGCTGAAAGCTTTAATAGATACATCCTCAAAAATTTGATTAGGAAGCAGAGATTGTACGTGAAAGAAAAGCTTCCAACTCATGGTTGAACTCAACATTTCTATGCATCAGAGAGGGAGAACAGCCCTTGCATGGGAGGCAGTAAATGCAGGAACTCTAGAACTCAGGAACTGAATAGCTGCTGGGAGTGAAAGCGGTGTAACGGGGACTGCAGGCTCAGTGGAGGAGCTCAGCTCATTATCCTCTCCTGGAAGGGCCGCTGAAGATACACGAGCACCACACTGAACACCACGAGATGGATGTGAAGCACTGAAGGCATGCAGTTGGCCAAACCTACAGAGCACTACTCAAGAGCTCTGCTCTGGGAAAGGTCTGTATCTGTTGATTGGATCTGACCATCCCTGACAACTGCCTACTAGCTAAAAGAGAAAAGGAGTAGTGGTAAGTGTAACAAGTCTGAACTTCTCCTTCAAGGTTTCCTTTGCTCATCACAGTGGTAGAACCAGGAGTGACTTGGTGCTTTCCTAGGTAGAGCAGTGGTTGTTGCAGGATGCTTTTGATTTTTAATCCTCGCCTACTTATAGAAAAACAAACAAATGTAAAAGACCATCTCCTGAGTGATGCTCCGAGAAGCTGATGGCCTACACTGTGGGCTTCTCCCTGGCTTCAAATGGGGAAGCAATTACATTCTCTACAATTAATCTGTAGCCAAAATAAAGCCGTAACATGATGTGTTTATTGCTACCTGCTTTAGAAAGGAACCAGTAGAATGTACTCAGTACTAAATCCAGACCCAACTGATCTAGCTGGGAAGCAGTGCAGCAGGCACCCAGCCAGCCAAATGCTGCCTCTGGAAACATGTTTAAACTCAGCATCCAGAATTTATTTCCCAGCAGCACATCAGATGTGAAGACCAATCTGCATTTCCAGTGGCTCTGCAGCCCCAGGCAATGCAGATAGGAGAGATATTCCCCAGCTACTGCAAAGGCTACTGTCCCTTTTCAGATTAATTTGACACGGTTTTCTTTTAACTCACCACTGCTGAGCTGCCAGTGAGAGGGACTGGGCTGGAAGAAAGGGCTGGAGGAGTCTGGGGATAAGGACAGGGCATTGCAGAGAACAGCATCCCTGAGCTGAGGTCAGGAAGCAGGAAGCTGTGTCTGGATGTTCCTTTAAGGTACTGCTCCTCTGCAAACAGCAAACCTGTTAATAACAGTGAACAGAAAACCAAAGTGGGGTCACACGGACATGATGTGTTGGTGGTGTTGCTGGCCCTGCAGGGTCACCAGCACAGAGCAGAGCAAATGCTGGCACTGGGGAACAGAAACCTCCAAAAAGTGTCAGTGCTCTGCTAGGCTGAAGAACGGTGGCTGTTTTCAAAATGAAGTGGAGGGTGAAAAAGTTACAGCTCTCAAAAACAGAAATACGATCAAAATGCAACCTGTGGAACTCGTTGGGCTGGTCCCATTTCTGACAAACTCCAATAACAAACCACACCAATATTAATACAGATGTACTCTTTTTGAAGTTCTGCAGCCTCAACAGTTTTTTCCTCCATCAGTTAACTTTCTACTCTTCCCACTTGTGAGTGGCTTACTTATCCCACAAACGGAGCAACCTTCCAACCCTGCTGTGCCAAATTACAGCACTATTTAAACCTCTCCTACAATCCCAGCTCTGTGAGGCTCTTAGAGCTCGAAGCATCAGAGATCAGTCCGAGTCAAATAGGTGCTGATCATGGAATGATACTGGTTGTTATTGAAGCATCTTCCAGCAGGCTCCTCACACTCATTCAGCACCAAGCCTGCCTGTTCTGCACCCACTGCATCCTGAGCTGATCCCCAGAGATGATATCTCCACAACTCCTCTCATAGAAAATAACATCCATCCCCATTCAAGGCTAAGCTCAGCCCAGACTCATTAAAGCCTCATTAAATCACATTGTAGCTCATGCCTTAACTACCACAGACACGACTTGAGCTACCAGTGTGTTTTCAATATGAAACTTTTTGTATTTGTTTTGTTTCTACATTCTATCAGTTTGGTTTGTTCATGCCAGTTTGCACTGGCAACAGCAGAACAGAGCGAGTATTCCACATGCAGCAGTTGTGTCCCCTCACAAGAAAGCCAAGGATGAGACCAGCTTACCATCTACACGTTACATTACTAACAACCCAACTACACTATTTGGTGTAATAATGTGCCTGTTAAAGAAAGCCAAGCAGAAACCAACCACAACTCATTAAAGAAGGAGGATATGTTTCAGAAGAGTTTCCTTCTTCCAAGCTTGACACTGGTTTGAGTCTTCTGTCACTTATCTTAAACTGCTGAAGATCATTTTAAAGTCATCAACTGATGAAAAAGTGAGGCCTCCCTTTCGAGGGTGGATGGTGACAGGACAAGGGGGAATGGTTTGAAACTGAGACAGGGGAGGTTTAGGTTGGATATGAGGAGGAAGTTTTTCAGCCAGAGGATGGTGAGGCACTGGAACAGGTTGCCCAAGGAGGCTGTGGATGCCCCATCCCTGCAGGCATCCAAGGCCAGGCTGGATGTGGCTCTGGGCAGCCTGGGCTGCTGGTTGGCGACCTGCACACAGCAGGGGGTTGGAACTGGATGAGCACTGTGGGCCTTTGCAACCCAGGCCATTCTATGGTTCTGTGATGCTCCCAAAGCAGCGTGAGCATGAGCACACACAGCTGGGACAGGAATTGCTGTCGCACAAGAAAAAAATACCAGAATGCTGATAGGCAAACACCGATGTAATGGGATTTCAAATGAACGTTCATAAAAAACTTCCTTTCAGGTTGCTTTCTTCCCATAAGAGAAACAAAGATTAGCAAGATGTTTTCAATTACTGTTATTAAAAAAATAATAAAAAGGCTTAGCTGAAGCAAGCATTTCTGCATCCTTCTAAGCTGGTCAGAGTTTCTGTAGCTTGCAAGATGCTGGACTCAGAATTAGACAGGGTTCCAGTTATCTTCTACTGTAAGAAGGGAGCTGCTGACTGCATTGTACTCCGACTGCCTGCCCTCGAGTGTTGGTTGAATGCTCACATTTAATTTTTAACTTTACTTCCTATTCAGTTTTGCTGAGGAAACCAGAAGTGAAGAGTGCAGCTTTGGGAATGTGCTGTTGGTTGGATCTTGGTTCTTCCCCAGGTGGGATATCTTCGGAGCCCTCAGTCCTCTCTTAGTAAGGTTGAAGTGTAAGTGGAAGGGTTGCCTGAAGAGAGAAAGGGAATTTTGGTAAACACAGCATTTTTTCTTTCCCCACACACAGAGTGCTGTGTGTACATCTCCAGCAATCCGCAGCGCTGAATAGTTTCTGTTCTCATCACATTTTCAGTCTTTCATAGAGTCACAGAATCATGGAATCATTAAGGCTGGGGACGACCTCTGAGATCATCAGTTCCAACTCTGACCCCCCCCCATACCCACTGACCATGTCCCCAAGTGCCACATCCCCACAGTTCTCGAGCACCTCCCAGGCTGACCCCAGCACCTCCCTGGGCAGCCCATCCCACACAACCCCAGTGCTGACCCAGCAGCCTCCTGCTGTGCTCTGGCTCCTGCTTTCACACCGTGGGGGATCGTTCTGAGCACACCAACTGTGGCTGCTGCTCACTGTGGCAGCACAGCAAGCAAACATCAGCAGCTCAGAACTTCCCAGCCCCAGCAGGGCAGCGTAAGAGATGTACATTCTTCCTAACAAAACTAGTAATAGCTTGCCCAGCAGGAATACGTGCCCCACTGATATGGGAACATGGAGGTATGGGGATGCAAAATAAGTTGGGGCTTCCCCTGCCCTTTCTCTTCTCACCATGAACTTGGCTGTTAAAAGAGAGCCAGGCAGTGGAGCCCTGGGCAGAGCTGGCTTTACAAACAGAGCAGTGCCCACCTGGAATGCCTGGCACCCCAACCTTTCCACCTTTTGCTTTTCTACATTACAAGCAGACGCGTGTTCTGCCAGAATAGTTTATTTTATCCAAAGTGGATATATATAATAAAATATACAGTGCCTTCCTTGTGATTAAGAAAAATGGTTAATTGCAAGCAGAACAAGCATAAAGTTCCATGTAATACAGAAAGCAGGAGGGAGTATTTCATCTGGGTGTGAGATGATTGTATGCCTCTTAGCTCTTCAAGAATGACAGAGACACAATACACCACATTGCAAGGAACTGTGGATTAAAATAGCTATTTAAACAGACTTAGAAGCTTATAATTTGGTGTACTTCCAGAATCCTCTGGATTTCTATAATACAAATCAACAAAAAATAAGGTTTGTTATCTGCAGAATAAAAGTGCAACCACTGCAGTTTGCACCTTCAGGAGATTAGCAATGCTGCTGCTTGAAGCACAGCACTAATCTGTTAAGAGTTTGTTAACCTATCCATCACTGCAGCAGAAATACAGCATTACATGCATGCTTTGAGTAATCTGTACTCGCTGTTCACTCTGTGTATTGCAATCTATTCAACTCTAGGATAATGCTGCTGTTAAAAATGCAAGCTAATTTTATTGACTGTACGTGTCCAACCTTTCCTGAAGCTGTCTATGGAAGAAAAACTGTTCTCCAACAGAAGCATAAGAGGGACCAGCAGTCCTGATGGGCACCAGGTGGAGCAATGCCAGCAACGTGCCCTTCCTGCCAAGAAGGCAACTTTCCAACTCCTGGAAAGGGGAGATAACAGCAGGACAAGGGGAAATGGTTGGAATTGAGGGAGGGCAGATTTCAGTTGGATGTGAGGGGGAAGTTGTTTGCTGTGAGAGTGGTGAGGTGCTGGAACAGCTGCCCAGAGAGGCTGTGGATGCCCCGTCCATCCCTGAGGTGTTCAAGGCCAGGTTGGATGGGGCCCTGGGCAGCCTGGGCTGCTGTGAAATGTGGAGGTTGGTGGTCCTGCATTGGTGGGGGTTGGAGCTTCATCATCCTTGAGGTCCCTTCCAACCCAGTGCATTCTGTGATTCTGTGATACTATGAAGGCCAATGGTGTTCTGCACTGCAGGAGACAAAGTACCAGCAGGAGATCAGTTCCTCTGAGGTCTCTGGCCCCTTCTGGATGTGAAGCTGCACACCCTGCCTGGGTGTGGGGCGGTGCAGAAGGACCCATGTGTCCCAGCCACCCTCAGCTCCTCTGCAATTCTCTGGTTTTTGTTTGGCCCTGCAGCTCCATCACCAACCACGATGACAACAGCAAGATGTGGCCACAAGGATCTGCCTGTGAACGGAGTGCAAGAACAAAATACATCATCCTGTGTCTCTGGGCAGCCTGGCCTGGTGATTGGCGACCCTGCACATGGCAGGGGGGTTGAAACTAGATGGTTATTCTGGTCTTTTCGACCCAGGCCATTCTGTGCTTCTATGTGTGATACATCCTCAGAGCTCTGAAGAGTCCCTCCCATCACCTTCATCTCAAACCACATTCAGCTTAGGTAGCGACAGTGTGTTTGGCAGCCTTCAGTGGATCCTCCTCCCGAGCAGCGAGCTGCAGGCTGGATATTGTCTTTTCAGTAGGTTTGCAGGAAGCTGAATGCTTATAATGACCTTACAGAAAACATGAGGAAAACCTCACAAGAAATAAAAGCAGGAAAGGCAATAAAATTTACTCAGTTGCCGTAAATTTGATGTGCATTTGTTTGAGATGATGCAGATTGCAACCCAGTTCATTCTGTAGCTAGGCTGAGGCAGCTCCACAGAAAAAGGTGACACAGCATGCCAAGGAGTGCTCAGTGATGTCATCTCCCAGATCAGCAAGTTTCAACACCTCTGTCAAGGTTTTTGGAATGTTCCTATTGAAATGCAAGCTTCTTTCAGCTGATCTCCTTCCTATCCCCACTTCATCAGATTTGTTCAGAATCAGACACAGGGAAGAAATGAGGTCTCAGCTTTTGTTTTGGAGCAGGGCTAATTTTTCCCTCTCCCCTTTGCAAGAATAAAGTCCTAGCTGGAGAAATCTTAAAAAAAGATGAAACTCAGAAAGGAAAGAAGTAAGATAAACAAGACTTCTCAAAGAGGGCAACCTAAAAGCCAAAGAGGTGCCACAAAGCTATACATGAAATGGATCAGTTATGGAACAGCTGTACCAAATTATTGGCACAATCAAAGCAATCAAAACTTGTTTTAGCTTCTCACAACATGAACTGTTCCCAGAGGGGTCTTCTACCCACAGCTCACTTTCTTACTGCTATTATCTGTACTCTAAATATGAAATTACTTTGATCAGTCTACAGGAAGAGAAGAACTCTCCAGGTAAGCCCTCTGTTGCCTGGGCATGGTTACATGGCACAGCCTGGAGCTGCACTGATGGGAGTCCTGGAGGGACACAGCATTTCCAAAAAGGCTGCAAAGGACAGAGCTCTGCACGAGGAGGACAAGATGGCACGCCCAGCAAAGCCCAACACAATCATGAGTCTGAAGAAGGATGATGGCAGAGAGGAGACAAGCCCAGAAAACCAAAAAGCAGAGTCATCTAGGGAGCATTTTGCAATTAAACACTATGCTGAGCATAAATAGGCCCAATATAATCAATCACGTGCAGTTTAGTCCATTTAATTTCAAGAAATCTCCAAATTAAACTAAATAAATATTTGATGTGTATTCTTAAGCAGCACAAAACAGGTGGCAATATGGGGCTTTCAGTTCTCTTTTATGAGCTGGGGAACATTTTCAGAGCAAGACAGACACACCTGAGCTCCTCCTTCTCACTAGAGGAAGTTAAAAGCTGTACCAAATGTATTACTGATTTCATACCAATTTGCTGAAGTTTTAATGAAATATTAATATTTGATGATTCACACAATTCTAAACTCATTGGACATGATTCTGAAGTGTCCAGAAATAAATGTTATTGGTTTCCACATCTCTAAAGCCCAATACCTTCATCATGTCAAAGTTCCTTCACTTGGAGGAAGCATCTCCTCCAACAGCTGCCACAGGGCTTGGGGTCAAGGGCTGCACCTTCACCATGGCGTTAATGGCAGAGCCTGGGTAACATCTTTATTGCCTTTTGGAACAAGTATTTCAAACCTGAATGTAACTGACTGTATTTCCTTTCAGGAGATGTTTCTATTCAGTGAAAAAGCAACGAATCATCCATCCTGTACTCATTTTGAAAGCACAATCTTTCTCCTGTTTCCACCAGAGTTTTTCGTTATTTATTCCTCACATTCAGATTCAGTGCTTACCTCTGTATGCATCTGCACTTGGGTCTTACCACTTGAAAAGTTGGCTTTCAGGAAAAGAGGTGTCCTTTTTCTCTGTGTTCTCCTTAAAAATCAGTGCACACAAACAACGTGCAGCCACCACTGAACTCCAGCCACAACTAAAGACCACAACTCAAACTCCAGCAGCTGTTGGTCTGGTTCCAGCATGCAAACCAGGTCCAGAGATGGGAAACAAATGGAGGGCATGTCTACGTGACCTTGGAGGAAATTCCTCTCCGACTTCCAACTGATGAACTGATATAAGCTGATGCCACATCCCCACGGCTCTGGAACGCCCTGGGATCGTGATCCCACCCCTGTGCCAGCACTGGCCACTCTTTGGAGAGGGAATTGTTCCTGAAATGCACCTCCCCTGGCTTACTGATTGGATTCCTGACCTGCTTGCTCACATCTTACAGAGGTGTACAAGAGAACAGCGGCTCCAGCATGGTGCTCTGGGGTGGAGAAGGAAGGTGGGAGCTGTTGGCTCATTCCAGAGGTCACAGCGATGCAGCACCCAGTGGGTCCTGATGCTGCCTGACATTCCCAGGCTGCTGGTCACCACCAAGGACTGCTGGGCCCTGGGGACAAGAAGTGACATTGAATTTCACTTACTGAAGCCACAGCACAAGACATTATTTCTTAAGAATGCTCTAATAGGGAAGCAAACAATGAGAAGCTGTATTTCTATGGCAACATCATGAATTCAGAACCTAACAATGCACTAGAGAAAGCCAACACCAGTCCTATTTTTTGTCACAGAAGAGTCACCCTCAGCCATGATGCAATAATTTGCTGCTTTCAGGGCCATGCAGCTCTGCTGTCAGGTCCAGGCAGGTGTCACTGAGACTGGCATAGCAGTGCCCTCACTATATTGTTAGCACCAACTGTTATCCTAGATTTTTGTAAGTTTGGACTACTTAGAATAGCAACAACTAACGAGCACTGCCCAGGAGATGATGATTGCCATGGTTGAGACTATTATTCCCCTTCCACACTTTTTATCATGAGTGAGCAGAGCTGGCCGCCCTGCAGGTCACGGTTTGCACCACTCCAGTCACATATCCTTTCATCCTCACCACTGTGTGCTTTGAGACACAAAGTGATTTCTTTTGTCAGTCTTCAGTACGTTCACCACTCCTCTATCAGCAAAATGCCTCCTTGGTACCAGGGATCAGTGGGAAGGAGCTGGAAGGTCAGCATTCCTTAAGGGGAAAATGAAGGCTGTTCATGGTGTAGCCTAAGAGTGTGTAGCACCTGAGGTATAATTACACACATTTGTAAATGGAAGAAAATATTATGCAGAACAATCAACTTCATCCATTCATGCCTGTATAAACATCATAATTGCCTAAGAAAAATAATTCCTTTACAGTGAATTAAAGCTATTCATAAGCTAATTTGGCTAAATACTGCAATACAGTTAAGACAAGTTCTAGTTACTTAGATACAGAGCATCTGACAAGTGACTGCTTTCCTATGCTTTGTTCTGTTGTGTAAGGCACTGTCTATGGCTCTTCAGAACCATGATTTTCCAGAACCTCAGAGCAGAGCCAGGAGCTCTGCATGTAAGGCTGGAGGTGATGCAGCCTAAGTCTCCACCGCAAGCAGGTCTGCCTGGAGGGGGTTCCTCAGCACCCCATTCCTTTCCAAGCTGGCTGTGCTGGAAGAAAACCAAAGCCATAACCATGCAGTGGCTGATGAGCACCTCGGCAGTACGGTCTGTCACAGGACAGGCATAAAGGTGTAGGAGCACAGAAACTATTTTGTTACCTGACTGACTCCCCTTGGCCAAGAATGACCAGAGATGAAGGTCTGCACGTGAGATCGGTGAGGGTCAGTTGTCAAAGTAGGGGAGTAAAGCTACAGCAGCACTGCTCTGTCATCAGCACACTGACACGCTGTGTACTGATGGACATCATTGCCAGTGATGTCCCTGATGTCCCTGCCAACTCAGTTCCATGATTTACCAGAAGGGAGACCCAACATACCTGACTCAGGAAAGCTGATGCAAAAGGAAGTGCATTTATTCAGGGACAATACACACATTGGCAATAAGGTCGGTAATTTAAAACAGCTTTTCTTGCAGAGAAATGGAAAGAGGAAGAAAACCACTCAAGCCAAGTAAAAGCCCTTTCATACTGCCAAAGTCCATGGAAGTGAGCTCTGCAGTTTGCACTGTAAGGTAAACATTCAAATTATTTCTAAGCCGAACATGAGATTTCAAAGGTTTAGAAGCCCCTTGAAGGGAGCAACTCAAGTGCTTCCAGAGACCTTTGCAGCAAAAAAAATAACTAACTGAGGAAATCCAGCCAGATAGAAGCAAATATTCTATTTAACAGATGAGCATTCACCCAACCCGCTCTCTACCACAATGCTTCCTAAAGTGAAACTTCAAAAAGTGGCTGCATAAAACCTGTTTGCACAAGATATGGAGATTTGAGAACCCGTGTGCTTTCAGTGCACACTTTCCAGCAGGCATCAAGGCTTGAAATCCAAATGGTGCTGCAAGTACCTCTGCTGGCACCCTGCTGCTGTGCTGCATTGGAAACCGAGCCCTGCAAAGAGCAGTGGGCTGTGAGAAGGAAGGGACTGACTGTGTAGTGGGGTCTGTGTGATAGGCTGAGGGGAGATGGCTTCAATCTAAAAGAGGGGAGATTTCTGTGGACGTAGGAAGTTCATACACCGAGGGCGGCGAGGCGCTGCACTGAGAGCTGTGGTGCCCCATCCCACAGACACACACAGACGGATGGGCTGTGAGCACTGACGGAGCCGTGGGTGTCCCTGTGCACTGCAGGGATTTGGACCAGGCCTTTACACATCCCTTCCAACTCAAACCATTCTGTGATTCTGTGATTCTGTGACTCAGCAGTGGCTTAAACTGCTGTGGAATCCTCTTCCATTAACCTGGACAGGTGGATGAGGTCCTGCTCCCAAGGAAGCTCTCACCACAGTCTTCATGAACTAGATGTCACAGCTCTCAACACATAAAGTTAATACCTTCTACAGGCACAGAGCTAACTCAAAAGCTTTTCCCTCCCACCTTTATTTCTACAAAGAAAATACCCCATGAATTGTGCTAAAGAAATAGTAGCATGCAGAGACATTCTATATCATAACACAGAAAGCTAAAGCCTTGGCAGCATGAAGGATGAGTGGTGATAGCCTCAAGTTGTGCCAAAGGAGGTTCAGGCTGGATATTAGGGAAAATTAATTCAGCAAGGGTACTGAGGTATTGGAATAGGCTGCCCAGGGGTTGGGGGGTCATCATCCTGGGGGGTGCTCAGAACCATGGAGATGTGGCACCTGGGGACACAGAAAGTGAGCACGGTGGGGCTGCATGGGGTTGAACCTGGGGACCTCAGGGGGCTTCTCCGACTGTAGGCATTCTGTGATTCTCTCATTTTTTTGACTATCACAAACCAACACAGGAGTCCAGTTCTCTGAAGCTAAGCAGAAATTACTTCTTCCCTCTGTATAAGTTCAAGTAAAAAGAAATCACAGCTTTATCGACCCCTCTGAGTGCTCCTGGTCCTGAGCAACACCTTCACATGGCAGTCAGACAAAGCACTGATGTGCTGCATTTGTTCCTCACAAACACCAAAGATTTGGCATTTGATCTGAAATGATAACTATTAAAAGCTCGCATTCAAATAATCTTCCTAACACGAGTAAAATACAACTACAAGAAGTACTTCAAATGCCTTGTAGTTAGAAAAAGTGAGTCACACAAACAGCACACTTGCAAGTGGAGATCTGCAGCTCTCATGTACACTTCTGCCATCAGCAATTGTTTGCAAACTTCAGAACCTCTCAGTGCAGGCAGCAACCTGCCTGGAAAGGAATGAGGATTGAAGAAACGTTTCCAAGTTTAATCTTCTGTTCTTGGTTCAAGACCACTTCTTTCCCAGTTCATGTAATTCGGCTTAAACCTCTGCTGCCAGCACTGTGACTTCTCTCGCAGAAGCTCAGGACCCATTGCACATCAGTGCTGCGACAGCTGAGGAACAAAGAGCAGATCAGAACTGGGGCTGAAACCACACTGGGGGAACACTCAGAGGTTCCTCTGCAGCAGAGTGGAGATTCTCTCTGTTTTTGTGTAGGATCAGATGCAGCCACATCACATCACATGCAGCCCCATTTCTGGGGAAATGGTTTTAAGTTAGGGGAGGGGAGATTGAGGCTGGATGTCAGGGGGAAATTCTTTACAAAGAGAGTGGTGAGGTGCTGGAACAGCTGCCCAGAGAGGCTGTGGATGCCCCGTCCATCCCTGAGGTGTTCAAGGCCAGGTTGGATGGGGCCCTGGGCAGCTTGGGCTGCTGTGAAATGTGGAGGCTGGTGGCCCTGCATTGGTGGGGGGTTGGAGCTTCGTGATCCTTGGGGTCCCTTCCAGCCCTGGCCATTCTGTGATGCTGTGATGCTGTGAACTCTGATTTTAATAAACACATCCAAGAATTATCTATAGGAAGGAGTCAAATAGGAGATGAAACCATCCCATCTCTCAGACAGAGAAGCTCTGAGTCTTCTCTGGATGAGAACTTCTAGGACCAACCTGGAACAAACACGTTTGTCTGAGCAGAGACAGCTCAGACAGGGCACAGCTGCAGCTGCAGGGATGGGTCCTTGCTGCTCAAATATTTTCAGGCTAATGATGTTCAGGAGAAAATTGTACCATTTATAACAAATACTGGACCACAAAGGGGTGCTGGAAACAAGGCAAAAGTGGAAAAAGAGGAGAAAAAGGAATATTTAAGGAGGTAAAGAAGAGCAAAATGCCCTTTTTCCCAATAAGGTCCTTAATAAGACCGTCCACTTCCAAGGAATTATGACTGTCTAATCCTAATTGAATTTGGAATGGGTTATAAGGTTACTTCATACAGTGAGATGAGAAAAGATAGAATATCTCATGGCTGTTTCTCATTGAGGCCCAGGGAGGACATGCATGCATTTTTTCCATGAGCAGCACAGAACTCAGCCCATGAAGCGCTTCTGCTCCCAGAAGTACACAAATCCCATCACGTCTCATTATAGGAGCCATTAGGGGAGATTAGAAATGAAAGCATGCAGGTTCATATTAAAAAAGAGAGGTGATGTATCACTCACTGACAATCCAGTCTAACAAGTTCCATTAGAGACACCTTCACATTTCCTTAGCAGCTTGGCTGCACAAGTTTCTTTCACAAATCTTGGACTTGATTTTAGAAGCCATTTCTCATCTGGTCCACTGGCTCCTTTTCTGATGCATTATCCAAATGACCAGAAGCCATCAAAGGTACAGCAGGGAACGTGAGCATCCTCCTTCACAACAGGGGGGTCAGGAAATGGCCCTTGTTTGTTCCATTCGTTACAATGGATGTGGGGCCAGACAGACTCCGTTTTAGTGGGAGGGTGAGGATTTGGTTTTAGAATCTAGAATTTTGAAACTACTTTTGGTTTGGCCTTAATAGCTGCAGTGATGGGTTCTTCAACGCCTACCTCAGAAGTTGTGTTTCCCTAATCCACCACTTGTTACCTCACGTTCATTGGCTCCAGTAGCACCCAACCTTTCCTATTAGGAAGCAGTCCAGCACTTCAGGCATGCTCTATTCAGCAGATAGGCTTTACTTGCTCCTCTGCCTCCTCTCCAGGCAGTTACACTCACCTTTTCTCACTAGTTTCTTTAAGCCATCCCTAAGCTGCATGCAATGAATTTGCACTTGTGAGAAGTTAGAGCAATTTGCCTTCAAGATTCCACGTCACTGCAGCATCTGAGGCAGCATCCCACAGAGAAAGGAAGAAAGGCTCCTGACCTCACTGTAATAGTGATGAGCTCAAAAACTGCAGTAATGACACCCAACCTTCCAAGCAGATGCCCACAGCAACCTTCCAAATTAGCCCTTACAGCCTTTCCATAAATTGCATTAACCTTTTAGCATAGAAGCGGCCTAAGAAAGCTTGAATTATAATCAAAATATTTTCTTCTACACTGCTGTACTTTTCTATATCCTCCAGGTATTGTGGCAGAAAGAGCAGCAAATGCTCTCAGCTCGTCTGACACTGAGCTTCTATGAAATTACATTAACATAGCATTGCATCCTTTGTCCTTAGAACTGCAATGAGAGAAAAAAGGCATTGTAACCACATGCAGATTGGTATGAGCAAGGAAGTTCAACACAGTGTAAGCAGGCTATAAAGGTGTCAGATGTGAAAAGATCCAAAATACCAACACTTGTTACTCATTTATTTCATTGAATGAGAGCAGTGGTGTCTGGGTTGTAACAGAAGATCATATAGAAAAGCAAATAGAAAAGAATATTCTACCAGAATTACAACAAGACTTCACTGCCTGCATTTAATGAAAATCAAACAGCTGTTCAACTCAGAAAACACTGTTTGTTAGTTTGAATGCAGTGTTTTCATTATGAGGAACTCCATTTGCCAGACACACAGTGGCTGTTCCCTCTACAGGATGGGCAATGGGCTGTCCTTGTTCCTGATCCAGCACTGTCCCTCTGATGCTGCTAACCTGGCCCCTTTTCTGCTGCCGTCCAAGCCCACTAATTAGTTTCACATAAACTCAACAGAAGCATTAAAAAAAATAATAAAAACCCAAAGCTACCCACTTTGGTGTGGAAAAGGAGTCAAACCAGCCCCCATCCCAGCTACTCTTGAGCAGCCTGTTGCAAATATTGAGCGTGCCATAGGCAAGAGGCTGCCTTTGGTTAGTTCTGCTGGACGGGATTTTTAGCAGAACAAAGCCAGATGATGAGCTAAACAGGGCTTGTTATGAAAATGGAAACCAAAGTGAGAAATCAGAGCATCACCTGTGGTTTTCTGTCCATTACACAGTTACAAGAAGTGCCAAACTGCATTTAGAGCTTGCCTACAGTCAGACTTTGCAGCCCCTCTTAAGTTGCATAGAAAGAAGACTACAAAGTATTATCAGTAAAAACATTATAATCAGTAGAATCATAGAACCATGGGACCATAAAGGGTGGAAAAGAGCACAAAGACCACCAAGTCCAATCCCAACCCACCCCACCATACCTTCTGACCACATCCCCCCAAGGAAGCAAACAGAAGCAAGCAGAAGGCTGTAATTAAACGATCATGATGGTGTGACATATTCTCTACAAAGTCATTGTAGGAAGCAGTTTTCCAGTCTAAGCCTCCTGAAACCCATTGCTTTACTTAAAGTTATTTACAGAATGACTTGTGGATGGTGATGCAGGCTTTAAAGTTAAGCCTGTAATAATGGCATCAGTTCCTCCACTTATCTCAGCACTTTGCTTACTTTGCTTATCAGTGAACGCTGCTCAGGGATGGGAATTACCCACCCACCCTTCTGCCTTCAGTCTGCAAATACAACTGGACTTCATGTTGCAGCTTCTGGGGAAAAGCGCAGTGATGGAGCTCCCTCAGCACCTGCGGTCACTTCCTCCATCCCACACACTCTCAGGTCCTGCTCACCTCACCCTACAGTTATGTGAGAGGTAAATTCTGAGGAAATCCCACTTTCATGCTCTTACCTTCAGGTATTCCTCTTTCCATCACATTTTGCCTTGTGTTCAAGTGACATGAAGACAGCAGTGCCCTGAAGATCACAGTAAGAAATCAGAAGTTCTGTAAGCTTAAATCATTCCATGCACTCAACTTTTCACTAACTAAAATTCTTGAATAGTAAGAATGACTTCAAGTGTCATTTCAGTGTAACAAAACAAAGGGATTGGTGCTCTGACAAGTTTATTGTGCTGAAGAGCTTCGTGCAGCAATAAGGCAGTGCTGCAGGGTAACGGCGGTAGGATGACGGGACGGCCTCAGGTTGGGTGAGGTGGGGTCAGGATGGGTGGTGGGGACAGTTCCTTCTCCAGAGGGAGGTGATCAGGACCTGTGGGGACGTGGACTGGAGAACAAGGGCTGTGGGCACGGGGCGGTGGGAACCCACAGAACCTGCAGAACTCGAGTACTGCATCCAGGCCTGGAGCCCCAGTACAAGAAAGACAGGGAGCTGTTGGAGAGGGTCCAGAGGAGCCACAAAGATGAGCAGGGCTGCAGCACCTCCACTACAAAGACAGGCTGAGGGAGCTGGGCTTGTTCAGCATGGAGAACAGAAGGCTGTGGGGTGAATCATTGCAGCCTTCAGCACCTCAAGGGAGCCTACAGACAGGAGGGGAGTCAGCTCTTGGGAAGGGGAGATAACAGCAAGATAAGGGAAATGGTTGGAAGCTGAGGGAGGGCAGATTTCAGTTGGATGTGAGGGGGAAGTTGTTTGCTGTGAGAGTGGTGAGGTGCTGGAACAGCTGCCCAGAGAGGCTGTGGATGCCCCGTCCATCCCTGAGGTGTTGAAGGCCAGGTTGGATGGGGCCCTGGGCAGCCTGGGCTGCTGTGAAATGTGGAGGTTGGTGGCCCTGCATTGGTGGGGGGTTGGAGCTTCGTGATCCTTGAGGTCCCTTCCAACCCAACCATTCTGTGATGCTGTGAACCCTCAGGCCTCACAGAACCTGCAGGCCTCACAGGCCCCGCAGGCCGCAGGCAGCCGCCGTTGCCATGGAGACCGCCCCGCGGCCAGGCCGCCGCCCTCTGGCGCCCCCTACTGGCCAGGAGGCGAAGTTGGAGGTGGGGACGGGCGGGGAAAGCGAGCGCGGGGTTTCACATCCGGGTACCGCGGCGGAAGAGCCGGCGCGGCGTGCGGGCGTCGCCCCGGAAGCGGCTCGCGGGGGCTCCTGGGAGTTGTAGTACCGAGCGGCGGCGGACCGGCGCCAGAGAGTTGGTTGTGAGGAGGTCGGTCGCGAGGAGCGGGGCCGGCGCCGTTCCCGACGCGGGGGTTCGGGCCGCGCGGGGCGGGGCGGCGGGGACGGGGAGAACCGCGACCCGAGGGAGGGCGGCGGGAGGAAGGGAAGGAGGGGGCGGGCGGCGGGGAGCGGCGGGGAGCGGCGGCGCCGAGGCGATGGGCCCGGGGGGGGCGGCGGCGCGGCCCGGGGAGCGCTGAGGGGATGCGGGGCCGGTGAGAGCCGGGGGGGGGCGGGGCGGGGCGGGGGGAGAGCGGGATGCGGGATGGATGCTGCTGGGCCGGGAGCGCCGGGGCGGCGGGCCGTGCCGTGCATTGCCGTGCCGTGCATTGCCGTGCCGTGCCGTGCATTGCCGTGCCGTGCCGTGCCGTGCCGTGCCGTGCAGTGCCGTGCCGGTCCTTCGCTCCGTGCTGCCCTCGGTCCCGCCGTGCCTCCCGCCCTGCCCACGGCCCGGTTTGAGCTCTGCGTGCCACCGTTTCCTGCCGTGGTCCCCATGGAATGTACGGGATGTCCAATGGATGTCCCAGTGCATGTCCAGTGGATGCCCCATAGACGTCCAGTGGATATCCAATGGATGTCCAATAGGTGTCCCAATGAATGTCCAATAGATGTCCCAATGAATGTCCAGTGGATGTCCTAATGAATGTCCAGTGGATGCCCCAATGGATGTCCCAGTGCATGTCCAGTGGATGTCCAATAGATGTCCAATGGATGTCCAGTAGGTGTCCCAATGGATGCCCCAATGGATGTCCAATGGATGTCCCATAGATGTCCCAGTGGATGTCCAATGGATGTCCAGTGGATGTCCAATGGTTCTCCCAATGGATGTCCCAATGGATGTCCAATAGGTGTCCCAATGAATGTCCAATGGATGTCCAATGGATGTCCCAATGGATGTCCCATAGATGTCCCAGTGGATGTCCAATAGATGTCCAACGAATGTCCCAATGCATGTCCAGTGGATGTCCAGTGGATGTCCAATAGATGTCCAGTGAACGTCCAATGGATGTCCAATGGATGTCCCACAGATGTCCCAGTGGACGTCCCAGTGGATGTCCAATGGATGTCCCAGTGGATGTCCAATGGATGTCCAATGGATGTCCAATGGATGTTCCATAGATATGCCATAGATGTCCCAGTGGATGTCCAATGAATGTCCCAATGCATGTCCCCACCAACACACACCAGGCTGGCCAGGCTGTGCTTCAGCACTCCTTGGAGCCATGTGAGGTGGGGCAGCACGTTGTGGGGCAGGGCAGCCTGGGGGGGTCGGGCTGTGGGGGCACATGGTGCTGCTGCTGTGGAGCAGGGAGTCACCATCACAGCCACTGCCTGGCACCTGGAGGTGTTGGGAACCGCGGGGCTGTGGGCAGGGGGGGCACAAGGGGGATCCCAGAGATCTTCTCTGATCTTTTCTATGAGCTGATGTGGCAGGGATGGGGGGGTGGGTGAGTGGGTAATGACTGGACTTGGTGCTCTAACCTCAGAAATTCGATGAGTAGGGCTGGTAAAGGTTTGTAGTGAGGATGCCACGCACCATTGGCCCAAATAGCAGAAAGTCAAAATGCTTTATTGTCATGGATCCCATTGCAGGTGGCCCTTGGGAGTGTGCTGTATGCAGGATGGCATCATTTCGCCTTTGTTCTCATGACAAAAAACTTTGGGATGGAACTCTTTGTGTGCTGCTGGAATCCTACAGTGGCTGCAGCCCATTGACGTGCTGAGGTTGGCCTGGATGATCTCAGTGGTCTTTTCCAGCCTTCCCTATTCTAGGATAAGCAGAAGTTCTGTGATGCTCACTGGGGGTGGATGTGGTTTCCTTATACGTACATACAGCAATTCCCACATGGATCAAAGAAACCCAACAAAGACCTCATTGCCAGGCCTTGAGATTTTATCTGCGTTTCAATTGTCCGCATTCCTTGGCTTTGTTCTTCCCCTTGCAGAAGGGGCATTAAGTCTATTACTAATAATTTTTTAGCATCTCTTTTGCCCTCTGGGATTCCAGTACTTTGCCAAGTATGAGGCATAAAGGCGCTTTGCCTTCCGATAGAGTCATCATGCGTGGTTGTTTCTCAATCCCAAATATACCATCACCTTGTCCACAGGAGTCCCACACCATCAGGTTGCCCAGAGGGGTTGTGGAATCCCTCTCTGGTGATACCTGCCTGGATGTGATGCTGGGCAGCGTGTTCTGAGTGACCCTGCTCAAAGCTGGGGGTTGGACTGGGTGATCCAAGCGGTCCCTTCCAACCTCAACAGCATCACAGAATGGTTGGGTTGGAAAGGACCTCAAGGATCATGAAGCTCCAACCCCCCACCAATGCAGGGCCACCAGCCTCCACATTTCACAGCAGCCCAGGCTGCCCAGGGCCCCATCCAACCTGGCCTTGAACACCTCAGGGATGGACGGGGCATCCACAGCCTCTCTGGGCAGCTGTTCCAGCACCTCACCACTCTCACAGCAAACAACTTCCCCCTCACATCCAACTGAAATCTGCCCTTCCTCAACTTCCAACCATTTCCCCTTGTCCTGCTGCTCAACCATTCTGTGGTTCTTTGATTCCCCACCTCTGTAAATCCCCTGTCCTTGGACACCCCCATCTCCCACCCATCATTTGGGCCCAACAGAATATATTTGAGCCTTCCGAAGTCTTCCTCTTTCAGTGATGTTCATGCATCCCCTTTCAGGTCAATGCATGGTGAAGCAGCTGCCATAACAGGACTCCCTTTGGTATTGAGTCTCTTTGGTCTTTGGCAACATCAAAAAGCTGAGATTTCCAGCTGGCTGTGCTAAAACAGATGATTCCATATTTGAGATCCCCTGTGTTCAGATCTGGTCCCAGGTAATCCAGCACAGTTGCTGCTGGGGTACATCTCTATAATTACTGATTCTTCTTTCTGCTCTAACTGTGTCCATGTGGATGCACAGGCTTCAAGTGCCCAAACTCCTCCATATGAAATGAAACCATACCTTATCAGCTGGACCTGGGTTCTGTTTCTGGAACCTTGCCTGGATTATATCCATTCTCCACACCTCTGTTCTCCTCCCCACCCGTCCCTGCTCCCACCCAGGCTGCCCCCAGCTCCTTTAGACCTGAGGCCGTTGCTGGTTGCCCTTTGGCCGCCCCATCTCAATTTAAGATCTACTGCTTGTCAGTGGGGCTCCCAGCTGCTCACCTTGAAAGCTCATTGGCACAAGGTTGTTTTTTTCCTCTTGTTCTTGAAAAGACCACTTTCTTCCACTTTATTTACACTTATTGATGGAGATGCCATTCTGCCCACCTGTTGGTGGGACATTCTTTGTTCTTTTTCCTACTGCTCAGTGCTCTGTGTGTGAGCCTTGCTCTGTTGACCAACTCCCAGTGTCCTTGGGGTGCAGTCCACACAGCTCCCCAGCTGTGTCATGCTCAGAGCTGTGGGAGGAAGGCATTGCAGGTACCTCTGTCACTGTGATCCGAGAACGTTTTGCAGCTCTCCACATCACACTTGTGCTGTTTCTCCAACAGCTTCAAGACTCATGCTGCTGTGTTGGGATAACCCTGGATTCCATTCAGTTCTTGGCCTCATTTAAACAACCTAACAGGCAGGTTGCATTCAGTCCTTGAAAGCAGGCAGTGTGTAGAGGTGAAGGCACCGTGCTGTCGTGTGCCTGCAGGGAGCTGCAGCTGTCCTGTCCACAGAGCCGGCTCTGAACGCAGCATCATCTGAGGCTGTCGCTGAAGTAAACAGTAATTTTGTCATTAGCTTCATTGAAAGCAAAAGCAAATCGTTGGAAAGAGTAGCAGCTGTGGGGTGATGGTGGTGTGTGTGTGCAGGAATGGCTGGGGTGGCAGCCCTGCTTGGAAAGCCCTCGCTGCTGGTGGTTGGGATGCCCAGTGCTGAAGGCATCCCCAGCATTCAGATGGAGAACTCTTAAACTAAGTTGGCTGGCTTCGTTGTTCCTTACTTAAGTAATTTGAATAAGAAAGCAAAATAGAAAGTGCAATATAATTTCAGCAATTAACAAAAGGATGTGTCTCATTCTTGGCTGGCTTTGCTGTAAGGGAGGAATAATGGTGGTGCTCTCCCTCCCTGTGGCATTCTGACTGAGGTTGGTGCAAACACGATGGAGAGCAGACCCCAAAGTGCAGAGTGGGTGCACAGCAACTGCCTGCACTGGGGCAGAGGGGGAATGGGCACGGTTCAAGTGGAACAGGCAGGTCAGGAGCACTAAGGTGGAGCTTGCTGAGGGCTATCAGCTCTGTTTTGCACTGAAGACATCCTGTTTCATGAGCGCTAAAGGCTTTAAACATCTCAAAGGGAACGTGAATTCTTACTTTGTGTTTCTTTTTGTTGCTCTTGCTCTTCTAGGAATCAACGCTTTCTGCTGTGATGGAGATGTTCTCATTGAATTCCCTTAAAGGTAAGGGAATCTAATCTTAATCTAATCTTAATCTTCAGCTATTTGTTTTGAATTTGTGCAGAGATTTTAATGCTTTGGCAGTTTCCTCAAGCAAATTCATTCCCAAGGAACAGTGCTGGCCTTCTTTACTGGGAGGAAGTAGGAGGTTTGTCCCATGGCCGGACTTCCTTCTCAATGCGCCTGGGACCAAAAGGAAGCAGATATCACAGAATCATAGAATGGCCTGGGTTGCAAAGGAGCACAATGCTCATCCAGTTCCAACTCCCTGCTATGTGCAGGGCTGCCAACCAGTAGACCAGGCTGCCCAGAGCCACATCCAGCCTGGAAGATGTGGACGTACCTGAGCTAGCAGTGATGGACGTAACATACAGAGCCAAATGTTCTGTTGGCCACATATTTTCCATTCTGTGAGCAGTGCCCCAGACTTTCATCTTGCTTTGCATGGAGTTTGTGAGCAGCTGTTGCACTGTAGCTGAATTGTCTGTTGGTTGCTGCAGCACCCCAGTAAGTGCTGCATGTGTGAGTGCACCCAATGCCAGGGAGCAGTGGGGAACCCGGAATTCAGGAAGGCCCCATTGTGTCACCCAATAATGGCAGCATAGGCTTGGAGGAGTAAAGCTGAACAGGGAAGTGTTAGCTCTAAGGAAGGGCTATTTTTGCCTCCTGTATTTCATCCCACACATAGCTGTGTCCTATTGTACAGCTCAGTAGGTGCTTTCTCCTCAGTGTTTGTATGCTTGAAATATTTTCATGTTCTTTCTCTGCTGTCATTGCTTTGCCAACCTCGTCATGTAGATCTCAATTTTTCCTAAGGAATCCCTCCAGTCCCCAGCAGGTTTTTTTGTGTCTTTTGTTCTTTTTTTATTTCTGTGACTTGGCCTTAAAATAAAGAGCACAGAATGGATAGAAGTACTCCAGCGTGGTCGATCTGGTGCTGATCACTGCCTTCCATCCCTGAGATGTGAGGAGCCTTCCCTGTGAGGGCTGCTGGTTTGTCATGGCCAGACTGGGGCTGGGCCTCTGCTGCAGTGCCTGTGCTCTGGGAGAGGAAGGCTTTAGAGCAGGTATGGCAATGAGCTCTTGCTCAGCACTGCAGCCCTGCAGAGCTTTGCCTGCCAAGGAGGAGTTAGTGCAGCTCATCACAGCCAGCCTAGCCAGGCAAAGCCTGGAGCATGGCTTTAAGTGGCCATGTATGTGCTGTTTAATATAAAGATCTTTGGATGGAATTGATGCTGTCTGACTTCTGGAATTTTTGAATAAATTCAGTCTTAGCTATTTTTTCTTTTGTGCTCATGAGATAATTGTTGCATTACTTGCAGTGGCATACCTCCAGCCCTACTGATGTCTGACCCCATGTGCCAGCATGCTGCCTTCCAGCAGCCTCTCCCCTGTTTCTCCTTCCCTCCAGCTGTGTGTTTCCATGATTTCCCCCAACACATGCCTTACTTCTCATTTTCCTCTGCTTGTTTTGTTTTAATCATTGCGGTTTCATCTCCAGCCATGGGTTCCTTCCCATAGGGTTCTTGGTTTTTTTTTGGAGCTGCTTCGAGATCTGTTCTTTTGCTTTTAGGTTGGCTGGTTGGCTTAGTAAGAACAATTATACACAGACAAATCACTGTATGGATATCAGAAAAGGCAAATTTGGTGTGGTAAGATCTATTTCAGATGTCCATACATGTGTGCCCTTCCAAAGATTTTCCTATGCAGGATTTTGTGTGATGGCTTTCCGCTCCTTGAAGCTCTTCTCGTGGAATACAGGCTCTGTACAGCTGTAAGCATGTTATCCTTTTGGGGCTTGTTGGGGATTTCTCACTCTGATTTAAAAAAGAAATCCCTCCTCTTGGTGTTTAAACAGCCTTTCATGTAATAGTTTGGCTCACACACAATGTATTCACCTGTGCTGTACAGACCCAGGCAGTAATGGTAGTTACAGGTGTGTGCTGCAGCCAGGGATAACACAACCTGTGTATCATTTGAGATAGAAAGAATTTGGATGTTTTAAAAACTAGAATTTCCCTGTAGTGTTTGGATTTCAGGCAGCACTGCTGTGCTGAGAGCTTTCTGTCCAAGACATTGGGGCATTTGTGTGGAGCCTGAGAGCAGTGAAGGAGCAGGGAAGGGGATGGCACTGCTGTCTGGAGCTGTAACTGAGTTGTGTTGGTGGCACAGAGCTGTAGGGGTTGGAAAGGATGCTCAGAGGGCTGGAGCACCTCTCCTATGAGGAAAGGTTGAGGGAACTGGGCTTGTTTAGCTTGGAGAAGAG